AACAAAGTTAAAACAGTTCATGCTGTAAAGACTGAACTTCCAACATAACCAAATGAAGTTCTTATAAACTTTCACCTCATAACTACACAAATCAAATTTTGGAATGGTTGCAGATGATCTGCGTTATGCTCATAAGTTGACCGTTTCATGCCTTTGTACAGACAATGGAAACGGAGTGTGTCTCGTTTTCTAGGCTGTGAGTAAATCCCAGAGATACCATGCAGCTTCCGTTTCTGGCCAGACATCAGATGTGATGGATGTTTGACTACACCCTGTGTGCCAAACAGTGCCAGCTTCCCCTTCTTACCCCGGGTTGGAGCTGCTTACGAGGCTAAGATGGGATATCTGAGTAAATGATGTTATAATGTAATCATCCATTGCAATAAGTGAATGATCTCTACTCGCGGAATGATATGCAGACGAGAATCTGAAGCAAAAAACCCACTGCCATTGGCATGGTCGTGCTCTGAAATAACTGACCTCGAACGGTTCCAAAGTGAATGGAACCTCCCGCAGCAACCCAACGGACCGCAGCGGCCTGCACGACCCAACGGACACACTCCCCTGGGTTGGTGCCGCTTATGAGGCTAAGATGGGATACCTGACTAAACGAGGTAAACAATGTTACAGTGCATTAATCTACAAAGTATCATTGATGCGTCATGTGATGTGGTTTAAGGCCACATTAGTAATGTAGACATACAACTTTCTTGCGGTACTCTGAAGCCTTTAAGCGCTCCTCAAGGTCTTGAAGCTCCAATTCAGTTTGGGCCACCTCTAGCTCCATTCACAGGGGGAGCCTCTGTCTATCTGAAGGGTTCCTTAGAAGCTGGATGTCTCACGTTGATTTTCCTCCTAGAGTCTCCGTGTATCTTATCATTTACTGTATGGTTACTATACCATTAGAGGTAGATACAGTGTGGGTGTGGTAGAGCAGCAATAACGTCACCAACTAATAATTAATCAACATGGGTTTGACTCCCGAACTCCATTGTTTTGGTGTTTTTTTTTTTTTTAAGTGTCTGTGTGTTCACACCAAGAGCGACTAAAGTTGTAAAATAGCCGGAAGTAATTCACTTTGTATGGACAAGAGCGACAGAAGCCAGGAGCGACAAAACTTGGGCGACTTGAGCGACAAAAAAGTTAAAAACTGCTCCACTTTATGCAAATTAGCTATGAAGCGTTTTGGCTGTGAATGAAATACTCAATAGAGCGTCTTGAGCAATTAGGCGACAGAGCAAACATATTTTAGCAGCCATTTTTTATGAGTGACAAAAGCGATTTTACAGCTTCAGTAGCTCTTGGTGTGAAGCGCACAGTAATGCTCATAAGAGGCACTTTCATATATTGTCACTTACAGCGCTGAAAAGTTTGTTAGGACTGTTAACTCTGTACGATTGACATGCTCTTAATCAACACAGAATAGAAGCCACTTACTAGTGACACACTTCCCTGGGTTGGAGCCGCTTACGAGGCTAAGACGGGATACCTGAGTAAACTAAACAACCAGTCTTATCAACAAGGTTGACTATAGACCAATGGTCTTCAACATTGTTCCTGGGGACCCACTGTGTATGCTGGTTTTTGGTTCAACCACAATTGTAATCACAGGATTTTAACAAGCTGTTAATGTCTTAATTAGTTGTTTTTCATGTTTAGCCTTGTTACTTACCGTCTTTGGCCAAATGTTACATAGAAACATCCATACATACTATGAGATTAAATACCCTTGAAGATAGTGGTTTTATTTCTATGCAGAAATTTCAAGTATATTTCAAACAGATCAAATTGGACACTGAGGAAATCCCCCAAATTAAGGCTGCTGGACTCCAACTGTTTCAAGTGGTTCAAACTCCAGGTGAACTTAATTAGACCAACACAAAACTGGTTTGACTCTTTACCATTTGCGTGTTGAATAAATTTGTCATGATGTGCCAATTAGTTTTCACCAATTAGGAGCCAACTACATCTTTGATTTGATTGGTTATATTGTTTTCTCTCATTTTATGCTGTTATTTCCAATGCATCGCAATGTGGGTATGGCATTTTTTATAATTCTTGATGGCAAAAAGCTATTCCTGTTATTGTTTATTGGCAAGGATTCCCACTAGCTGGCGCTGGGCGTCCAGCTGAGTCTTCCTGAGGTCCAACAACATTAGCGATTTACGCATAAAAATTAACATATCAGACACATAATTCATGGAAACATAACATTACCACACAAATTATGGCAAGCATATGAGTGAAAAAAATATTGCACTACATTTACGTATTCTGGTTGACTCCTTGTTGATCATAATTGTTTTTTGAAGCTTGCAATACTTTTATGTTACATATGCCACTTGGAAGACAATTCCATGCCCTAATAGCCCTGTCTAAAACAGTTCTTTGCATACTATTAGATTTTGCACGTGGTAGACTAACCAGCCCACTATTTGCCCCTCTGGTGAAATGCATATGCACATTAGAGCTGTAGATTATTTTATCAGAAATAAATTTGGGAATGTTAATTAGAATAACTTTTCTGAAAAAATATAAGTTTATGAAAAGTCTTTTTCAACATTCAACCACTCAAGATTTTTTCATGCATAACAATAGCATAGTTCTGTAGAGCAGCCAAGAAGCAAAGGCTAACACCCTTCGCACAACCTACGACTTTGCCTCAGAAGCAACATACACGGCAAGAACCCACGCAACAGAACAGTAATCCAAGTGGTATAGAACTAAAGCACAAACAAGTTGGTTCCTCAGTTCAAATGGAAGGAATGTTGCACACTTTCTTGCAGTGGCAATAGCTCTGCCCATTTTAAAAACAATTCTCTCGATGTGCTCCGACCATGATAATGAAGAATCAAGCCAGAGGCCTAAGCTTAACTAACTTGCATATTGGTTTACAATCTGTGAAACCAGTGTATTATCAAGTGCAATTCGGAACCAAGCCCATACAGACAGTTTTGACATAGCATCAACTTGTTCTTATCCAGTCATATAAAATGTTTAGATCTCTGGATAAAACCTGATTAATCTCTGAGACTGTAGTAGCAGCATAATAAAGAGTTGAATCATCAGCATACAGAGTCAAACTCGCCTGTCGAATAGAAAATGGCATATCATTCTTAAATATAGAGAATAAGAGGGGCCCCAGGCAACTCCCCTGTGGAACACCACAATCTAACCCTCTACTGCCTGTTATCTTGTGAGTTAAGAGGGCAAATAAGTGTATTTAATGTTTAGAGCAGTTAAGACAAATTAACAGCTTGTTAAAACCCTGCGATTGCAACTGTGGTTGGAACAAAAGCCAGCATACACAGTGGATCCTCAGGAACAATGTTGAAGACCACTAATATAGACTATAAGAGCTCCAAACCAAATTGGTTGCCATGGCCTGCATGACCCAACAGACACACTCCCCTGGGTTGGTGCTGCTTGGGAGGCTAAGATGGGATACCTGGGTAAACAAGGTAAACATAATGTTACAGTGCATTAATCTACAAAGTATTGTTGATGTGTCATGTGATATGGTTTAAGGCCACATTAATGGCGGGGACATACAACTTTGTGTGACTTTAGCGCAAGTGTCATTTACTGTATGGTTACTATACTATTACAGGAAGATACAGTGTGGGTGTGGTAGAGCAGCAACAACGTGTTGTAGGCCCCTGTCAGTCACCATATCATCCGGAAAATGGAGATCATGTGACTGAACCCCTACGAGTCAGCGCGATTGTAAATACTGAGAATACAAATGCCTTTATCTTCTTGCAACCCAATTCTCTGTATGGTGTTTCCAGTGCTTTGTCCTTTGATGGATGTGCTGGTATTGTGGCTATACGTCTCCTGAAACAAAGTGCTAATTTGTATAAACATAGCAGACATGGGGTAGTTTAATGGCTTATTGTTGATCACGATTTCACAGAGAAAGAATGCTGGCCAGTTCAAGCCTACCCTTTTTCTTTTATACGTCCAATTGTGGGCTACAAGCCCAACTAGCCCTTCTTCAGGGAATTCTACCTCATACATCATGTAATCAAACAAAGGCAAGTCAAGGTTATCTGAATCTATAATCTGCAAACCACAGTAATAACAACACACTAATATTTCATGAAGAATGACCATAAAACTGCCCGCCCCTGTCTCTGAGGGCACTTCTAAATAGTCAGTGTTTTGGGATCCATCTTAGCCCTGATCAAAGTCCTGAAATCCCAACACAGTTCTGAGTCAGAAGGTTCCAAAAACTGAGGTTCTGGATGTTGGATAGCAGGTTTAGCCTTTTCTTCTGTCAGTGGCTGGTGTTTCCACTCCTCTCCTAGAGAGAGAGGGCACCTACTGCTTCTGACCATCCTTTTTACAGAATTCAAGTAGCTCTCAAACTTAGAAGTACTGCATTTAAATCAATTCCTTCTAAAAACAATATCAACTAGATTTAAAAAAAATCCCAATATGGAATTAATAACATTAGGTTAGACAGCAGTATTTGCAGTGTGCGTCTTCAACAATGTGCGGCATGGAATGAGTGTTGTAAACAGGGTTCCCACTAAGTCAAACCAAATTCCCTGACCTTTCCATGACTTTCCCTGACTAAAGAAGAAATTCCTGACCTTCTGTAATACAACCATACGCCTGTTGAACCCGAAAAAACAAGGCGTTATAAAACAATCAATCTGTAAGGCTACAGCAATTAAATTAATTGGTTCTCGGAATCGCCGCTCCAAGACAACACAAAATGAAAAAATGAACTTGAAACTGACATGCCAAGGTTGCCAGATTACATTGGGTGCCAAGGGACTAGTGGCAACATCAGCATCAACCACACGGCCTGCATTACGCTCAACTATTCCCCTAACACGTCTGGCAGATCTCCAGGAGCGGAGGCACTGCCTTGTCCCGTTTTGCTTTTCCTCACTCATTTTGTGAAAGGATTTTAACTGATTTGTAATTTAAACTGTGCCAATCTAATGACATGCCCATCTAAAACACAGGGTTCCCACTCTCTAAATACCTGACTGGGGCTCAGGAATCCAACCCAGGTCTCCCGATTGTCAGTCGAGCAAAGTAACCACTGCTCCACCACGTCCGTAAACTCTGTAAACATCGGCAGGAAGCGGCCTCATAAACAATACAAAATCACTGGGAGACAACCGTCAGGCGTTACAAAAGGGCCGAATCAAACGAACAAATGACCAGACAAGATAACCTCATCAAGAGCCCATAAGCATGAGAAAGAACACACAATAAGCAGCTTGCACTCGCCACTGTAGTTAAAAGCCTTTGGATACTAGCCATCTACATTGGCGTTAGATGAAGAGACGGGTATTTTGTCCAGATCGGGGAACTGATATCTGATCCAGTGCTCGGATCGGTGCATCCTAGCAATATTAAAAAGTTACCATCACAAGAAGTGCAAAAAGAGCTGAATCTAAGTCCTAGTGTACAGCGACCTCACCAAAGCAAAATACAAAATACATTTTCAAGCAGCCTTGAACCCCACACCTCTACAGTGGAGACCACAAGAAGTAAAGATAATGCTAAAAAGGAAAGATCATTCATTGTTAATTAATTACTCACGAGGCGCTGTGGAAATCAAACATGGACTTGTAACATGGGGTTTAGGAACTGGACCCGAGTCAAGCAGTTGACGGCTGTTGATGTCACTCAGGCTAAATAGCCTAGTGCCTTTACAGCGTGAATTGCTTGAATTCAGTTGACCTCCACGGCTTAAGTTGCAGTACTTTGTCTTTCTGCTAAAAGTGGAAGTGGAGTGGAGTTGAAACATAAAATAATTATGATATGCCTATCAAGATCAATTTTCTTCAATCGTGAAGTGTGCACTATGTTTGCATTTCATTTAATTTACCCGTTTCATAATTGTCTTAGTTTGCAGCAGATTCTGTGCTCTGGTAAACATTACTCCTAGGCATGCCTGCTGTATCTAGTTCATCAATGAGGTTAATTTACAACTTAAAACTTTGGAGAACTTGCTTACTAGGAAGATTATACAAGCCAAGACACTGTTAAAATGTCCAACACAACTGCAGTGCTCTCAAATTTGAAACTGAACATGGGTGTGATAAAAACATACAATGTACTTGGAATACCTCCTTATTACTTAGCTACTTTCAAGGAAAAGTATGGGAGGAATACGTCAAGCAACAAGCCAACACCCGCATTCCAACTCCTACTAGAAACCTGTAACAATATGGCAGCCATCAAATGCCATTTCAAGCAAAATGACATAAGGAAAAACATTATCTCCACCTTTGGGCTCACTCAACAAATCAGCAGTTAGATATTAAAAAAAACATGAGAACAATGAGCTAAGCACTGGTACCAATTAGAAGGAGCTCCAATTTGCCCTAAAGGGACTGTTCTCGTAATTGGTACACTTCTCTAGAAAAGGCTTACTTTAAACTAACTTAAACATTACGCCGTTATGTGTGAGCTACCCAGAGCAATGAAGGCAGATGTCCCCTTGGTGATGTATTCCTCGGGGAAGCTGTGAAGGCGGGTGTGGATAAGATAACCATGACTGCATGCGAAGCACAGGCCAAAACAGCAGCAATGGACCATACAGCTGTGAAGGCGGAGTGTGGATAAGATGGCTGTGACTGGATCTGGCTTACCGACCAAAAGAAACAGCAGCATTGATTACACACTTCAGAGAAAAATAAAGGGCAGAGGTAAACCCTGTAAGTTGATGGAAAACTACTTAATTTAAACTTAAATTACTTAAAGCTGCAGGTGTCAACCATCTTTGCAGGGACCTACAACTGGTGTATTCTATATACATTACAATACAATCACTTGGAAAACAAAATCAACAAGACACTTATAACCTCAATAGGAGCATAAAAGACAAACTTACCAATTAAATTTAAAGTTTTTCAAGCTAGTAAGTTTTAAGATGCACAGGTGTCTGCTGATCGATGCCCTTCTTTCTCAGAACAGGAAAAAAAACACTCCAAGCCATATTCTTCAGCACAGGCCCTTTGAAATGTTATCATCTTGCAGAGGCAAGGCCTACAGCAACAACAAAAATAACCAATTATTCAATGATTTAGTCCATGAGCCAGAGGGTTGATACCATTTGAGGGCATTAAGGCACATAGTGATTTTTGGAATGGTATGCACCCTAGAGTTAGAAAATAAATTACAGCGTTACTGGTGGTAGCCTATGGATGGATATTATGAGTAATTTTAAACTAATGCCCCCTCAAAACTTCCCCATTCAGTTGGTACATTGAAACAATACTACTGTGGACCTCTACCAAACAAACAAACTTCCTGAAAGGTCTGACTATGCTGAATGTAATTGAATGTTTACATTGACGAATTTGTTTAGGATTTCTGCTGGCCGATTGTGACAATCAATGCATTTTACCACTAAAGCGAAAAATGACCAAAAAAAAAAGAAGTACAAATCGCAGGTAATTAAGCAATGATAGGCGATTAAAAAAAAAAACAAGCATTCAGAGAATTCCTAGTCTCGCCCAACAGCCAGAAATTTATGTCACGCCGTGAGGTCAGCCCAAGGTGTTTACATGTGAAAGATGCTCGAAATCGGTCAAGTGGTTCTGGAGATTTCTGCCTGGAAACACACATACACACACACACACAGACTCACAAGGTGATTACAATAGTCTCGCAAACCCCTCCGGGGGCTCGACTAACAAACCGGCACTACTTTAAACATGGGACCAAGTTCGCGCCAGATGCTGCCATTTAACCACTCTGCATTCACTTTATGCTGAAGCCAGCCAGCAGTCGATTCTGCCACACTAGGAGAAAACACAGGCACCCGAGGCAGAAATTGTCGCTCCAGATGAATATCCCATTTTCATAAAAGGTTAGAATATCCTCATACAGAGCGGATAAGCACGAAGAAGAAACGCCTCCAAGGAGCCTGGGTACATCACTGTAGTTAAACCCGCGGATACTAGCCATCTGTGAACATTAGCGTTGGAATTTAGAGAGCGGGTGTTTTGAGAGAAGGGAGAACCCGGCGACTTTTTCAACTTTTACTGTACATAATGATTTAATTAGTAATTTTTTGGGAGTATAATATTAGTAGGATGGCAGAGTTTATAGTTGCGTATTGAAGTGTTGTTAAGTGTTAAGTTAGGATTTGTTCATTTTTCTGTTTGTTAATCAGTTATTTCAGATAGTTTAGATAACTCCGATTAGATTACATATATATTTGTATATACACACATTATTCATCATTACCAGAAAAGGTAAGTAATGTTAGAGTTGCTATCGATGCTGTTAAAGTTCACCAATAATTAGGTAGCTTGATGGCTAAGTAACGGTACCGTTTGTGAGACAACGTCAAGCACTAGCTACTTGCGCGAGCGCATTTCTACCTACACACATACAATATCTTGAGCGATCGTTTGGTTCTTCGTATTAGGCCCTGATGAGTCGATTAGGTCAATCGATAAAATATGAACTTTTTGTTATTTATAACTAAATAGGCTGGTTTTTCAGTACGGTTATCCTACATGGCTTTGCTTATGAATCTAGATATCTATATGGCTATGCGGCGATACCTGGCGAGGTCCCTCCTGAAGTAGTGGAAAAGCCCTTGACGGCGACAGCTAAGAACAAACTAACCTTCCATAGTAATCATTTCCCGCTGAAAAACGCCCAACCGCATAACATTACCCAGCCGCCGGCGTAAGCTAGGCTATCAAGGGGCTAAAGACTGCGGATATAGCCGAGGACATATCGGTCCATTCTACTGCAGTTAACTGTAGCCGCAACGACAGCAAAAAGCTAAGATTAAAAAAAAAAAAAAAAAAACCCAACTTACCATACATGGTTTTGTTTCAAACCCATCCAGTCTGAGGCCGTCATTGTCACCAAGTTTTTCCAAGCATGCCCTATTAAAAGATAATCAAGTATTAGCCAACCGCAATCGTTTATCGCGTTTAGCATTAATGCTATGAAAATCCAGAAACCGACCACAAATGACCACGTAATATCACCATTGTCGATACAAATGATTGATTATTCAACCATATGCGTCTGACTGAAGCCATAGTTGTGAAAAACTACACAAAGGTTTAAAAGCTTACCTTGACCAACCCTGTTTATGCGTGCACCACCAAGTTCAACCCAGACCGCCATCTTGAGCACATGAAACACCTGCCCGGCAACAAACTCTAGAATGTTAGCGTTCACATGCGCCATGACATAAATCGACGAATCAAAAGAGGTGATAAGCTAAATTAGCCTTGTCGTCCATTCTACATGATTACATAAAACCATAACAGGACGACAGTAACAAATAAAAATGAGAAGAAAAAGCAGCTCACAGTTCATATTTGTCTGCGTCCCATCCAAGCTGAGGCCATCACCAAGTGTTTCCAAGGGTCACGCTAGCTGAAGAGAATCAAATATTAGCTGACATGCAGTTCGTTATCGTTAGCATTAATGCTAACGTAAAATTATAAACCAACAATTTCAAAAGCTATTTCAAGATAATATCGTAATTTCCTGAGCAGCAGTTTAACAATTTTACGATGTGTTGCCCTTACATATAGCATAGTCACAGAAAAAAAACTCCTCTAAAAGGCTTAGAAATCTTACCTTAATCAATATAATTATACTCTGCCAACCGTCAGCTTCCAGTCTGGAGCATGGAGATCAAATGGCGCGACTTCTTCAGTGCCCAGCAACGAACCCAAAAGCGTTGATATGCGTCGTGACGTAAAGACCAATCAAAATGATTCTCCTCAAGATCGATGAACCCAAATAGATATGCAACCTTCAACTCCATGCAACTTTGACGTGAAATGCTTCCTTATAAAAAAAATAAAATAAGACTTATTCAATTCACATAATGCGCTGTGCGCTACATAAAAATTGATTTATTCTTGGCTTCACACCTCACTGTGTCTCTCACTGTTCATTAAAGTAATAGATTTCGTCCACTAGAGGTGTCCCTATCAAGAATAATAAAGCAATTATTACAGTCTGATCTAGGAATCATGGATTCGTCGCAGACAATAAGAATATCGAGTGCTTGCAATATTCAAATCTTAACCGGAAATTAAAAAAAAAAAAAATGTGGCA